ACACACACACACACACACACACACACACACACACACCAGGGGCTGCAGGGCCACCCCACATCCAGGCAGGAGGATCGGAGTGATGCTGCCCGCTCTCCAGCCTCCACCCGACCCACTCACATCCTGTGGTCAATGAGGGAAGAGAGGGGGGGCACAAAAAAAAATAATTAAAAAATTAAAACATCCAACAGCAGCCTCTGACACCTCCCGGCTTCCTGCCACCGTGGCTTAAACAGGCGCCGCCGGCACGGGCAGCTGGTTGCCAGGGCAGGGGTACGATTCTTCCCGCCGCATGTGGATCTTCTGGTGGACGACCAGGTGGTAGTGCCGCTTGAAGGTCTTCTGGCACACGCCGCACTGGTAGGGCCGCTCGCCCGCGTGGGTCCGGTGGTGCCGGACAAAGTCAGAGGACCAGGCGAAGCTCCTGTTGCAGCAGGGGCAGAGGATGAGGTCGTGGTTAGTGTGTTGCCGCTGGTGCACGATCAGAAAGCTCTGGCTGGAGAAGTTCTCCATGCACTCGTTGCACGTGTATGTCATTTTCCCAGGAGATAAGGGGCATCTGCTGGGGCTGGGCTTCCCCCACACCATGCTGCAGGCCATGTGCGGCGACTGGGGCTGGGGGACGGCGCAGGGGGGGGGCTGGCTGGAGCATTCCTCTGCCCCCAGGGGCTGGCAAAACCCCTTGGCTGCCCAGGCCCGGAGGTGACATCGGATCTTCTTCTTGGACATGAAGCTCCGGTCGCAGTGCGGGCAGACATAGGGCTCCCAGTTGCTGTGGCTGCGCTGGTGAATGACGAGGTTGATCTTCAGCAGAAAGTTTTTCCTGCACACAGGGCAGGAGTAGAATTTCTCCCGGGTGGAGTTGCGCTGGCAGGCCGCAGTCCGGCCCATGCAGGAGCCTTCCACCAGCTCTGCTGGGGTGGCCACCGGGCAGCCGCGATCACCTGCCTGCACCACCGCTCTGCAGGCCTCAGGGACCGGCTCCTTCACCGGTTCTTCAGGAATGTCTGCGGCCAGGCCTTGGCCATCATCCCCCAAATCCTTCATGTCCTCCTCTTCCAGGGCCTTCGAGGGCATTTCAGAAATGGCCGGGTCCTTCGCAGTGACCTCCTCCTGTGGCATCTCCGTTGGGATGCCCACCTCGGCATCTGCTGGAAAGTTTTCACAACCCAAACATGACTCTTCCCAGGTGATTTCGAGGACACTGCCACCCCCGCCTCCCCTCCCCACACCCTCCCCAGCCAGCAGGGAGCACAAATCTCAGCCCCACTCTCATCTCCCAGCTCAAAGTCTTCACCCCCAGACCGCATAAACGGCGGGCACAGCTCCACCTCCTCCCTGCAGACACCCCACGGGCGGTTTAGAGATGACCAACATCACTTAGGTAGGATGGGGGGAGTCTAACAGGAACACCGGGGCCTGTCCCTTGAAGTAAATTGCCTGGGCGGGCTGGCTCGCACCACGCTGGGCCTTGTCCTTTACGGTTTCAAGGCTGACAACGGGATTTACTGCCAGAATCCTTTCTTGGCCTGACTCTTGTAAAATCCCATCTGGAAAAGCCCCAAGCCCGGAGAGAGCCCTGTACAACCCCCCTGCTGCTCTCCGAGTGGGCCAGTGGCTCCTCGAGGCCGCCAGCCCTGCCATGGAGGGGCCAAGGGCTCTGTCCCAGTACCTGCTGCAGCGGGAGGCAGCGGAGACCGGTCCAGATTCACTGTTTCCCGAGAGCAGGCGGAGAGAGGGCAGGAAGGGGACGGGGTCGCCTGGCTGAGATCCGCTGGCACAGCGGTGGCTTCCGGAGGGACGTGCGCAGCTGCGGAGGCCAGAGGGGTGACGGTGAGGCAGCCTGAGGTGCAGCCAGGCCCTGGATCCCGCGCATCAGCCGGCTTTGCCGGCCACTCACGTGTACCACAGGCCGCCGCCACCGCCAGGCTCCTGCTGTCCTCCGACTCCCCACAGCTCCCCTCGCACGAGTCCTTTCTCTTCGTGTCCAGCACAGCATCGTCACTTGCACAGCTCAGGAGATCTGGCTCTGGGGAGGAGAAGGCCTTTACTGGCTGAGCTGGGAGCTCAGGGCAGCGACTGCAGGACTGGGGGTCCCCCCTCTCTCAACACCACAGGGCATCAGGTCTCTGCAGCAACTGCTGGGTCAGGGGAGGGGGTTTCCAGGCTACCACTGTGTCCCACCACACTCCCCGTGTCCTCTCCCGTCACAAACTGTACCCCCAGCCATCACAGATGACACCTCAGTCCCCAGGGCTGAGGGCAGGGACCACAAATCATCCTGGGAAGCAGCCAGGAGCCAAGATCCTGGCATGGAAGAAACCCAGTGTCACACACCTACGGCTGGTGCCGGGGACATGTCTGCTTCCTCCAGGTCCAACTCGTCCAGCATGTCCAGCTCTTCTCCTCTTTCCATCCGGGATAAGAGTTCAGGTGTTGAGAGCGCACAATCTGTTCCAGAGCAAGACAGAAGCAAGATGCAGCAGCATCTTTGTGGGTACACCCACAGCCTGTCCAACCAGAGCCGGTCCCAACCCGGAGAACTTCAACCAGGGCAGCGTCAGCACCAGCACACCGGGAGTTATGGACATGGGCAGGGACCAGCAGACAGCATGTGTCGGGGGGAATCTGAAAAGCACCTTCTGGCATGGCTGACAAAAAGCAACAACCACAAGAAAATCCATCCCTACTCCATGGCAGGGGGGGAAATCCCTGCTACAGAACCTGAAGCACAGGAAGAGAATTATAGGGCTCTCGTTGGACCCTCTGGGCTGCCTCACTGCCTGTACCTGCTCCAAACCACCACATCTCGGTCCCACTGCTCCTCACCAGGCAGGAGCTTGGCTAGGATTTTGCTGCCCTGCTCTGGGACTACGCTCGCCTCATGCCCCAGCGCTTTTGCTCTGGCTCCTCGGGCAAGAGGGTGAAGTGCCAGCTGGGATGTCCATTGCCTGAGTGCTGGAAAGAATTAATTATGAGCACAAGGCTGGGCTAAGCAAGATGTCAGAGAATCATTTAAGATGGTACAGGGCCTTTAGGAAAATCCAACCAGCCTTTTTGGAAAGGTCACTTCCAGGCGCAAGGGCCATGCTTTGGAACACCCAGGCAGAAGCAACCCCTGTGAGATCTTCTCCCCTGCCCAGCTCTCACCCCACTCCCCACACCACGAC